TGAGAGCGGGATGGTCCATAGTTCAAACTTCTGATGCTGCAAAGCTCCCAAAAAAAGAAAAAAAGGAAAAAGAAAAAGAAAAGAGTTTTTTCAAATTTTACACTCTTTTTTCTACTGCATTTTTTCAGGGCATTTAATTGTTTAATCCTTCTTTCTACATCAATGGGTCCATTTTTTCCATTAGTACTTATTAGATATTTGGCAAAGAAATATTGTCACGAAATTCCCACTCTTTGAGTAAATGAAAGTGTTTACTTTACTAATTTTTTTTTATAAAAAACTAAAACTTATTTGAAGAGTTAAAGAGTTTAATCAAGAATTTATTATTATATTTGAAAAAGAGTTTACGAAATAATGTCACGAAATTCTCGATGTCGTAGTATCCTAGACATCAAAGAATATATCTTACCATGTGCTTGACTGATATAGATCATGACCTGATACAAACAAAATAAATAAATAGAATGTTTACTTTATTAATATTTAAAAATTTAAAATGTAGTCTGAGAATATAAAAGTTTAACCGAAATCTAGAGAAATAAGTGATTTTAAGCGGAAATAAATTAGAACTAAAACAAATAAATAAATAAATAGAATTTTGAAATTTATTCTTAAAAGTAGAGGAAAAGCAAGTGACAAATTATTTCATGATGAAATATTTTTTTATCATAAATTTGTGTTTACTAAAATTATTCCTCTTCAATTGAAGTGTTTAAAAGTACATAATTAAAGTATCATAATGATAAATATTTAAACTTGTTTAAATAGGAGTAATATTTATCATTAAATCTTTTATTATAATTTTAAGTTCAAAAATAACTTTTAAAAGAGTTGACCAAACACAAATTATAGATGAAATTAAAAATTTATTCAAATTAAACTAAATTTAAAAATTTATTACTTTGTGCGCGATTTATATAGATTGTGAGCTAACACAAAACAAAAAAAAGGAAATGAAAATGTTTACTTTACTTATTTTTAAAAAAAAACACTAAAGCTTATTCAGAGAGTTAAAAGAGTTTAATAAAGAATTATTTATTATTATTATTATTAGATTTGATTTTTTTTAGAAATAATGTCACGAAATTCCCCCATTCGGAGTATCACAGACATTGAAGAATATGCAGGGGCGACTCAATGTCTTCAAAAACAAGGGATACACCTTAGGCACCCAAATTTGAGGGCCCTATTTTTCAGTAATAATAAAAAAAAATATAAGTTTTTTTTTAAAAAAAAAAGGAAGTATATTGTGTCTTTTTTTTAATTTGTCTTACTTTTTTAGTTCGTTTCAAAGTATTAAAAGATATTATTTTCTTTCTTATCAATTTTTAAATTTAACTTTCCACATGACATGTTTAAGACTACAAGATTAAAAGACATTTTGATATATATATATATCTTTTTTATTTTTTAAAAATTCATGTCAAGTCAAAATTGGACAAAATATTAAAATAATTGGGGTATTATTTACCGCAAAAGTAACTTTTTTTATTAAGAGATAGAAATAACTTTGCTTATCAAAAATGATCTTAAGTATACTCACAATTTTGCTTCTTAAAAAACTAGAAAACTAAATTTCAAATAATTTTTAAAAAATAAAATAAAATTCAAAGTCTCCAAAAAAATTTAGGCTTTAGGCCACTGATTAGCTTGAGCTGCCCTGAAAATATGTATTATCATGTGAGTGCCTACTGTCTTGTATAGATTATGAGCTCGCACAAATAAAAGAATAAATAAAAGTGTTTACTTTACTAATTTTAAAAAATTAAAACTTAGTCAAAGATGGGCAAACAAAGAAATTCATTTATTTAACACTTCATATTATTTTACTAAATATTGAACTTTTTTGCTATGTTTTGCTTGAGAAAATGTGTTCTTAACATTTATAATCTTAAATGATTTATTCCATCTAATAATTATATCAATGCACAAAAAAAGTTCAAAGGAAAGAGTAAAACCAAGAAGAATATGACTTTTTAAAAAATAAAATCAAATCAAATGTTCTATATATGAGTATTTAGTGGCTAGGAAAATAATTATCTCATCACAAAAACAATTTTTTTTTCAATTTTTTATTTATTTCTTTATTTGGGGATTAAGGTTCTTTGAATGGGGTCGGTGATTTGTAGAGATTGAAAATTGGACCTTATTAAATTGGTAGATTGGAAAATATATGACAATCAAGAAAATAGTCCTAAAATGAGCTAGTTTTCACATTTGTATTGACAAGAAATTAGATTCAAAATTAATCAAAGTCTTTTCGGATTTGATTTTTGACAATATATAAAAAAATATATTTGGACGATGCTTCAAAAATAGATTTATAGTGTTTGAGTCTAAATTAATCAAATTTCAATATAACTATCATATCATATATAGAGGGGGGAAAAGGAGACTCTAAACTTATATCTTGTTATTATTATTTTAAGTTTCAAGTTATAAGTATTTCATATGACTATTATAATTTGATCGACTATGACATGCCACCTATCTTTGTTTGGATTATCTCTTGTACTTATAAACATTTAAATTGTTAGTAGACATTTAAACTCAATTTTTACTGTAATCTGCAAAAATTCTTATAGTTGGTAATTGCTTGCTTGTAATGTAGTTTAAATTGTATCATATTAGTTGTCATTTTTAAAAAGTTAAAGATAACATTACTTATTTTATTTTTCTATTTTACCTTTAATAATAATTGTACTTGAATACTATACACGTTTTAATTATAAGAAAAATGATACATAAATAGAGTAGTTGTTCAATGAAGAGAGATTATAACTCAAGACATAATAAAGATAAAATTAGTCAATAATTCTTTATAACTAATATATATTTTTAAAACGTATAAAACAAATATGGCAGATAATTTGAGACGAAAAATAGCTAACATCCATCTAAAAAGATGGTCTCTTTTGAGTAAGTTAGACAAAGTCAATTCCATATCATCAATGTCTAGTTCAAAATTTAAAGGTTTAAAAAACATGAACAAAAAGGTTAAAAGCTTGAATTTCTCCTAGTATGTTACAACTTACAAGTGTTTTTTGAATCACTTTTCTCAACAAAATTATTAATTTGTAACGTAATTATCGAAATTGAAAATCAGCACATGATTATCCAAAATACAGGGACAAAAATAATCCTCCTAAATGTATGTTAATGCATAATCATAAATTCTATAAACAATTAACTTTTAAATGTTTTACTTGCATTCATAATATTAATGTTAATATGTTATCACTTTTAAATGTATGTCCAGGTCAATATTAAGTTTTCAGATGCGTTTTGGGGCGAGTGTACCAACAATGTATTGAGGCGCAAATAAAAAGTGTAGATTTGTAGGATGCTAAATTTGATCGTTATTTTAAAGTATATTTGTTATAGTGCATGTTTTCTATTATTGGTATAATGATATTTATATATACCATATGCTATTGTGTTTTCATTTTGTATTGATTTTCTTTAAATATCTAAATTATAAATAAAGAAAGCAATCCTCATAAAAAATGACAGCGTCATATTTAGATAGGAAGCTCACACAGTCATATACCTGATAGTTCATATATCGAACTCAATAAATTGTAATATTTTAGATATAATTTTGACTATTAACTCGAAAAAAAACATATTTGAAAACTCGAATTGCATAGTAAAGTCAATTTGGAGCATTAGGTAGACTTTTATACCAATGCGACACAAGAACCAAAGCTCGATGGATGGATACATTGGTAAGGGCAATGGGTTCGAGACATTGGCACGCTGACTTGTTAAATAGGAGGAGACCTTTTGTCCGGGGTAATTTTGTCTTTTTTTCTCAATTTATGTCGTAATATTTCGAGGAAATGAGATTTTTTGCGCTCTTATAATTTGAAAAGAAAAGGTAATATTTTCAGATTCTTACATGTAAAAATGAAAATATCTTATAAAACAGATATAAAACTTAAGTTTGTTTATGATTAGAGAGCTATTTCTCCCCGTCATTTTTATTTCGCTATTTATTACTCATTTGTGTGGATTGAATTTTTTTAATCACTTAGAAAATGAATAGAAGAAAATGACATTTTCAAATCTCTTAGGTATAAAAATGAAGATCTCTTTTTAAAAGATATAAAACTTAAAAAATAAAAATAAAATCTAAGTGACTTAAAAGAATAATTTTCCAATTTGTGTGTATCTCTAATATTATATTATTTGACTGTCTCAACCTTCTAAGTTGACACATTTTTTCTGGCAGAATTCAAA